CGGGTCGAGACCGACGCGTTCGTGCTACGTCGACTGACTAACCTCCTCCCCACCAGACACAACGCGGAGACGGCCTGGCCTCACCTGACGGACCTTCAGCTCGCGGACCCGGACTTCGCAGTGCCGGCAGAGGTGGACGTCATTCTGGGAGTCGACGTTTATAGCCAGGTGGTCCGCGGAGAGATTTGTCGCGGTGAACCCGGAGCACCCACGGCCCAACTCACGGCTTTTGGATGGGTCTTAATGGGGGCGCTGCCTTTCAGCGAGGCGCTGCCCTCGCCTGCCGGTTCGCTTAGGGTGTCCGTGAACGTCGCCCAACCGGCAGAGGAGCTGTCCACCATCCTGCGTCGGTTCTGGGAAATGGAGGAGTTTCCAGAGAAGCCGATCCTGACCCCAGACGAGGAGTGGACTGAAAACCACTACAAGGAAACCCACTCCCGGGACGCGAACGGAAGATATGTCGTCCGCCTTCCACGGGTGCAAGGTCGTGTACCGCGACTTGCAGACTCGCGGGCGGCGGCGCTCTCTATGCTGCTGAGCTCGGAGCGTCGTATGACCAAGCAGTGCGATCTGCGGAAGCGATATACGGCCTTCATGGTGGAATATCTTGCCCTGGGCCATATGGATCCGATCCCGGTCGGAACCCCCAGTCCCGCTACTACTTACTATCTGCCGAATCACGCGGTGTTTAAGGCCGGAGACGTAGCCGGGAAAATACGCGTGGTTTTTAACGCGTCCTGCCGTACGTCCTCCGGCCACTCGTTAAATGACTGTTTGTTGCCAGGGCCTAGACTGCAGACCGACTTATGGCTGGTCTTGTCCCGATGGAGATGGCTAAAGGTGGTCTTCATCGCCGATATTGTTAAAATGTTCAGGGAGATCCTGGTTCACCCCGAGGATTTGGACTTGCAGCGAGGATTTGTACTCTGGCGTGCCGATCCCGCTGAGGAGGTCAGAGAATTCCGCTTTCAAACCGTGACCTACGGAACAAGCTCTGCTTCCTTCTTAGCACTACGGACCCTGCAGCAGCTCGCGCGCGATGAGGCCGCTCGCTTCCCGCTGGGCGCTGCTGCCCTAATGCGCCACTCTTATGTGGACGATATTTTATCGGGAGCCGACGA